ACGATATGGGGTAGGTGGAAATTCTCGCACGGCCATTACACGGTTACCTTTTACCCACCTTTAATTTGGGAAAACCGTAAATGAAAGTGACGCCAACTATCAACTTCATCTTATATTTTTGTATTGATGTGTTTTCTATTATAACTGTGCATTTTTTTTAGATTTTAATAAAAATACCTAGTTAGATACTCAGTTACCGTTACAGCCTATCAAGGGTCATTGATCTTTCCCGTAGGTTGCCTCCTAGGAGGATAATTGCCATGGTTGCCACGCTTAGTACGCAGATTGGCGACCAAATTTTTTTATTTCCAAGACGCTACTGCCGATCTCCTGAGTTGTTTCTCACTATCCGCCTCTTACGACACCCAAAATGGGTATGGATACGGATACGGATATACACACTAAAGGTACAATACTTACATTTAATTTAGTAAACGTTTGATTCTAATTTTTTATCCATTCTCGTCGGCTTGCAGCATACCTATAATCGTCGATTAGATCATAAACCCAACCTTCTAGTTGGTAATATTATCTAATTTTAAATAAATTAAATCCAGTGACTCGGGCGGGGTTCCGATGAATCAGCTGCACGTTCAATGTATTGTTTTCTTTGTTTATTTGCTATCTAGACGGTATTATCAGGTCAGTACCACCTAACCTTAAATATTACTTGACAAAACTTATATGCAGCAATTATTACGGACGAACGACGGTGATCCTGAAACAAAAATCGATTACTCTTGAAACAAGTGAACTGAATTTTGACACTATTATTATCTTTACGTGGTAGAGTCATGATGCAGTTATATTAGTATGACGAATGAGTCGGCTTAATGCAGCTGTGGTTCGAATGGTGAGTGTAGAGGGAGACCCATTTTAGTGGAAACGAGGCATTCCATCTTAGTCCTCGGGGGTGACAACGCATTTGCATTTTGATTCTTAATCGAGGTTAAATGTAGATGTCTATGGGCCAGAGCATCCACTTACCATCAGGAGGACTGTGTGCTAGTTTGTCACCAGTATTCTATACAAAAAAACCTGATCGTAAGTAGCTACACTTTTCTAAGATCACCCGCAACTAGCTTAAATTAAAACTCTATTTATTTGTCAACGTAAGAAATTAAAAGTATGTCAGTCGTCGATATGTTTTTTAATCTACTTCCATTTCAAAACGAGGTTCGTCTGTCCGGAACCAGACCCTTTTTACTGGAAATGAGGCATTCCATCTTAGTCCTCACGGGTGACAACGCATCTGCATTTTGATTTGTAATCGAGGATAGATGTAGATGTCTATGGGCCGCAGCAACCGCTTACCATCAGGTGGACTGTGTGCTAGTTTGTCACCCTATCCTATAAAACAAACCAGCGAAAGACTGCAGGTATCCCCTTTATTCCCATGTTATATGTTTAGCAGTGGACTTGTAAAGGCTTTAATGTTGATGATGTATGCTTGTGTAACCTTAAATATGACTTTTTATATCTTAAATTGTTAGTAGAACATTATTCCAGTAAAATTTACCGTTTCGTTAGTAAGTAAATTTTGTGTTAATTTCAATGTAATGTACATTACATTGCAAGCTGAAATTATTACAAAATTACCACTATTGTTATAATGCGGTGAATCACGTTGCATACTATGAATCACTGCTGCGACGCTGTGCTATCCTTATACCGTGATATTTTTGGTAATGTCCCCCAGGTTGTCGCAAAATCGTCTGCACACATTGTGCTTGAAGTGTTTAATTTGCATACTCGTGAAATTAGTATGGAGTCTTGATTACTTTAATTCTAATTCTCTAATTATTTTTGAAATTCATTTTTTCTTTATTCTATAAACTTATATACTTATAGATTTATTTGATAAAGGATAATATTATATAAGTTCATTCATTAAATTTATATTTACAAAGTAAAAAAAAATTAAAATATGTATTAACTTATTAGATATAAAACTCATAGTCATATTACAAAAAGTAGTTTGTAATTCGTCTCAGTCTTAAACTAGAGCGAATTATATTAGGCACGTTAGTTACGGATAAGTTAGATTGAATGTGTGCCTCTTTGTAAGCGTGTATAGGTATATATACATAAACACTCACGCCTATCACCCAGAGGGGTAGGCAGAGAATACAGACTTCCATTTAGCACGATCCTGACACACCTCTCTCGCCTCCTTCACATCCATATAGGTATATATGTTTATAATACTTTAGTATAGCGACATGTCCTGTACACTTGATAGTTTCAGAATTCCGAGTATTTGCAAAAGTTGTCGACACGAAGTCACCACCATCATCATTGCACGTATTGCTATTTTTGTTAGAAACTGATCCAAATTCATAATTATGAAAGTTATCGGAAAAATATGTTTAATATAATAGTCTCATACTTCGTATAAACTTTCTAGTCTTTTCAACAATACAAATTAAAATGAATAAAATATTAAAAATAAATTTTGATGTTATATTACATTTTTTTTAACATAAGTATTCTATAAATATTATTTTAATTACATTTTAGGAAACAAGAAAACGCGTTTCAATAGACATGGAAATATCGAAGTGACAGTCAAGTTAATATATCGCCAGGCGTGATAAATAACGCTAACAATGAATCAGGCGGCACGCGCCGTCGCATATGGCGCTGACAGTGCCCGGGTGAGGCCGGCTCACGCATTAATGGACTATTTATGGACGGCTCAGGTTTATGGGCGTATCTATGCGGCTTACATTTTTTCGTAGTAAAACTCTGTAACTGTAGTAAAATCGATACGGTTACCGCGCTAATGTTGGACTTGTAAAAAATTAAAACTTACGTACCATCACTTAACTAGGCGAAATAACTTGTTGGTGTAGCGTTTTGCGTAAGGAATAATATAATAGTGTGTTCTAGATTTATTATTTAATTTTAAAAGTATTCTTTAATACAAAATAATAGTTATACCTACGCCTGTTTTTTTAGACTAGATTAGCTTGGTCAGACTTAACTAAAAGTCAAGCAAAAATCGACTGCTGTGTAAGACAGAATATATTTTTCCTATTTTCATACAAATAAGAGTGATATCAGTGAACATACAATCAACCTAATGCTATGCCTAATGGATGCGATGTCATAGACAACTACATCCATTTTCAGATGCATTGGAATCGGCACCGGGTTCACATCACATAAATAGCATAGATAGGTCCTCACACAAAAAAAGCAATTTTGCTAATTCACGCTGGTCGTCTGGGAGAGGGCTACTCTCACAGAATACTACCGAATCGACGTATCGTGATGAAGCCAAAATACAGCTAAAGCGTGACTACTATACAAGAATACTATGTTGCTATGTTAGAGATATAAAAGTGTTTTTTTCTTTTCCCGCTAAGTGTTACTCTACACTAGGCATGATTTTATTCACATTTTCGAAGTTGTTATGGCATGTCTCACAATGCGCGGTGCTCTACTCTCGACACGCCGCTATGTGACGATTTTGTCGATGTTATATGTCTGAATTTTGACACTAAATCAATAAAAAAGGGATGTTTTGAAAACTAGATATATTTAAATTATAAAGTCAGCGTATTTTTTTCATTCAGTAACTGCAGCAAAGCTCGGCGCTTGCCATAAATATCATTAGTTTGGAAGTTACAAGTTAGGATCCCCGCCGAAACCATTGAGTGTTATAGCATTTTTAAGTTGCGATTTATTAAGTAATTGAATCTATTATCTTGATGTTAATGCTGTTAGTTATACGACTCTTACAGCTCACTTGGTTTAAGTGATTGGCGTGAAGGATTACATCGTCAGGATTGCACGTCAGAGATATATGATAAATATTCTAAAGACGTGTGAAATTCATGAATTTGCTCTGACGAAGAGTGGACTCTTTCTTGTTGCACAATTCTCTCAGAAATAAGAGCTGGCTTGAGCCCATCGGTGCTTTGATTCTTAGTCTGGACAGTACTTTTAAACGGCAGCTAATTATATTTTATTTCGAATTATATATCTTTTGTTAAACGAGGTTAAATTATTCTGAAAATCAGTGTTACGAATTCGGAACCTATATATTATAATTACATATTTTCTGTGGTTTTCCTTAAATAAATTATTCTTTGAATAAACATCTATCAATCCAGCAATTATTTATATTCTAGTCTCGGCTACAAATGTCAATTCTTTCGACTTTGTTTGTAGAGACAGTATAATGTATAATGCTAAGTAAAAGTCGATGTAATTAGAAATAAATCATGCAAAATCATTAGGTTAGTTACGTGATTGCAACTTTCTTAATTTTCCATACTGTAGCGGTGTCAAAGAATCCACATGTGAGAGAGAGACTAAAACAGGAGAAAGGCATTTTCTTGATAATTGCGGTTACAAAACCGTCTTCCAAGGGTGACAACTATGGCAAATATCCTCAATATGAGGGAAACTGGTTTAGCAGTGGACTTTAATAAGTTGTACCGCTAACGGTAATTATTCTGTAAATAAACACCTGTAATTACTACTATTATTGAACTGATTTGAAGGTACAGTATAATTGAAATATTTAATGTTAAAAAAAGATATATATATATATATATATATATATATATATATATATATATATATATATATATATTGCCTATATGGGAGGTTTTAGAAGTTTGGAGGGGAGTTATGGGGGAGGGGTGAAGGGTGTTTGTGTGATGAAAAGATACGTTAAGTAAGAAATCGTTTTTTTTATAGAATAAGGTGGCAAACGAGCACACAGTCCACCTGATTGTAATTGGACATTTGTCTTCATTTAAAATCAAAACGCAGATGCCTCGTTTCCAGTAAAAAGGGTCTCTGGTTCTCTACACTCACCATACAAAACACTAGCATTAAGCTGCTATTTCACGCCGGTATTATGTCAGAGCGTGGGCCTGTCCCGGTCGAGCCGACGCATTCGTGCTGCATCGTATAGTGGGATAGAAGCATAATATTAAGTTTCGTCTTAACAACTTTCTTAAATTTATATTCCTTTGTTACAGCAATACGTCGAGGTACAGAAAATCAGCCGACAAAGAAAGCGCGGGCAGAGGGTGGCGCAAACGATGGCTCGAGCGGCGGGCGGGAGCACCTTGCATACACCTGCCTACTTCGTAATGAGCTACTCGGTGCGCAGATAGACGAGCTCCGAGGGCCGCCCGCGAACTGCGCTGAGGGCAACAGGGCTGCTCTGGGCGCCGTCCAGTTGGCTTCGGCGGCTATGGCCGCCTTGGCATACTCCCCCCGTGTGTTCAAGTTCAGGGCGCCAGTGTACAGTGCTGAGGTTAGTTTCGATTTCATACCTTATGCTACTATAGGATAATGCATCCGTTTGACATATTAGAGTCCTTTATTGAAGTGCCTTGTATTCAAGACAATTAATGCAATATTCGAAGTTAAGAGTGAATATTTTTAAGTTCTGCATAATAAGTATATGCATGTTTTCTTCGTGGTAGAGCCATGCTGCAGTTATGTTAGTAGTATAGTTGTAGCACGAATGGGTCAATTCGACAGGGGAAGGACCACACTCCCACAGAATACCAACGTAAAATAATATCTTAATACTGCTGTGTTTCGTACGGTGAGTATAGAGAACCGGAGATATTTTTACTGGAAATGAGGCATTCCATCTTAGTCTTCACGGGTGACAACGCATCTGCATTTTGATTCGTAATCGAGGATTTATGTAGATGTCTATGGGCCACAGCCACTACTTACCATCAGGTGGACTGTGTGCTCGTTTGTCACCCTATCCTATAAAAAAATGTGTAGCCTTTTTTTGTGTGAAGTTGGCTGCAGGTGTCCATGGCCTGCAGGTACCACTTACCATCAGTTGATTGTTAGTTCGTTTGTTAATTCAGTTTTGTATAAACAATATATTATACGTTTTGTTTGCTATGAGAATAAACGTCAATTACAATCATTGAGCTGTTATGTACTACGTACTAGAGGCGACACTGCATTCAGCTACTCTGTTCCACTCAACTGCGGTGCATACACCGCACTTTAATCAGTAACTCGCTAGGCGCTTGTAGAGTTGTCAAGTGTTGTGTTGATTTAAACAAAATCTCTTGATAAAAATATGCCGTCGTGTGTACTTAGATATTGCACAAATAATTCAAGAAATGTCAGTAAAAACCAAGGAATTACTTTTCACGGTTAATAAGATACTTAATCAATTAAAAAAGTTTTATAGATTAATAATATAACAAATTATTCCTAAGACGCTATCGCGTGTCATGGAATATAGATTATGAAATTAATATGTTCAGATGTGACATTTCTGTGGGTGGGTATAGGTCGAATATATTATTATACACATTTTTTTTGTAGAAACATATATAAGTTTAATTAGGCTAAATTTTTCATATTTAAATATGCTTATTATTCTTTTATTTTATTTTTATGTTTCTACATCAAAGTCAAAGTGGAATAAATTCGACCATTTTTAACTCTCGCGTGCCCAGCATTAATGAACGACTCTTATTCTAATTTAAATAAATATATTTGTAATTTAAATGTTATGTAAATAAGTTTTGTTAAACATACATTTAGTATGTCTTTTTTATATTTGACTTAGATACCTTTTAAAATATTCAGATAAAAATATCATTAAAATGTAATTGTGTTATAATATTATGTAATATTATATTAAATAAGCAAATATAATTTACAAATAAATTACAAAATTTAAATATTATTCTGGATACAATTTACCTATTTAACAATACAATCTACTATTACCAACGTATCATTCTACCTATGGTTATTCTATGATAAAAAAAATCAACCGCGCGAACACAGAGTAGCGCACATTTTTTGTTTGAAATAGCTGTTCTAGTACGTAAGTACATATTACTTCAATGATTACAATTTAGATTTTATTAAATTATAACTATTATATTTCAATATTAAACATATTTAAGGACGTGAGCCTGTTACTTAGTAGTGAAGAAAAGCAACGTTACGGGAATTTTGATCTATGAATGGAAATTTCTATTACTACTGTAAAACGATGAAAAAGCTATTGATTCACGCCGTTAGCTTACTAATTTAAAAAAAACGCAACAATGAGATCAATTTGTGTGAGCTTTTTGTGGTATTGACGAACTATATTTATTTTAATTTCATAGCCCTGATTCCGCTTAATAGAATATACATAGTAGGGTGTGTAACACGAAAGTTCAAACGAATCGTTTACTTTTGCTACAGCAAGATATTGGTAAAGGCTAAAGGCGATATGGAGAGAAAATAGGGGATTAGTTACTTTAACGCGTTCATTGTCCCGGGATCAACTGGATCATTGGTATTCTCTTACTATTGTGTCTGGAAACCAGACAGAGAAAGTGTTAAAAGAACGGGCAGCAGTCTTTTCTGAAGGTAGTAACTAAATAGCATATCTTCCACGAATCGAATATATTGCACTGGTGGCACAAATTAACCGCTCATTCAAAATATTTATTTCAAACGTGTAGGTTACTTTTGTAATTCTGACGAATATTAATATGTTGCTTTTGCCTTTCAGGCGTACGTCGTGAAATTTGATATATTTTTATTATTTAACAGACTAATATATCTAAGTTACTTTGTTGCATTATGTCTTTGCTTTTAGCAGTTAAGGTATTTTGATGCCTACTCTTAATCCTATCTTGAAGACAATCTCCGATAGAAAGACAGAGATTGACAAATATGTTGCACTCCTTTGCTCAAATGCGTGATATATCAAAAGAATTAATGCCCCCTAAACGTCAGGTTGTCCAATGGTAAAACGGAGAGAGAAGATATAAGTTATTTAATTTTTGCGCACATACTTTACGCGAGTATCCCGGGTTACGCGACTAACCCGGGTTCGAGACTCCGCCGGCACCAATGAAATTGTTAATTGCAATTTTAAGTGCTGATTTACCGCGTGCTCGGCGGTGAAAAATAACGCAACAAAAGGAAAACATCGTGAGGAAACCTGGAGGAATAAGAAAAAAAATATTTCGGAGACATGTGAAGTTCGCCAACACGCATTGGGCAGCGCGGCGGACACTTCCATGTCCTAAAACCCTCTCAGAAAAGAGGGGAGGAGACTGTCAGCCCAGCAGTGAGACGTATATATTCTGTAACTTTACTTTACTTTTTTTACATACTCTAGAAATGAATCCTATAGGGTCTTGGCCATTTTACGCCTGTGCTCGAAGCTGGCAAAATTGACTTTAACCAAATTAATGTCGTCATTCATAAAAACTCTGCATATGACACGAAAGAAGCCTTCTTTTTTCAATCCATCCTTTATTTACTTAAGCCTAATCAAATAATCTCTATATGTAAAAACAATTGCTGTCAGTTTGTTATTTTTATGAAATTTTTTGTGAGTTTGAATAGGCACCTGGATGGTTTAGAGCAATTTGGACCCGGTAGGTGGCGCTGTTGTCGAGGTCCAGAAATCACCCGTGCGAAGCTGGGGCGGATCGCTAGTCATTAATAATTATAAACTTGTTTTAACATTACGCGGGCGAACTGGATGGGTTACCAAGACAAGCAATTTTTATCGTCTTCTATTTTAGTTTGGACAAGACAGCGATTCAAATTAATTGTTTAACGACAAAATTGATGGCTCACAAAATTTATGTATTTCGACCATCATTAATTTTATTGCATACGTGTTGCAGTAAAACTGGGCTATAATCGTCACTTTAGTTCTGCCATTTAGTAAATATTTTAAAATCTCGTATTTAATTAAAAACGGCCGTTTGGAATGAAATTTGCAAATTTATTGTATTTCTCGAGCTTATTACCGGTATAATATAAAATATAGGAGCAAGGATAAATTCCGAATCGAGCTTCCTTACAATTTTTCGTTGTAGCAAACAAACACACAGAGATGGATAGAATTGCATGTCTAATTAGCATCTTTTATCGAGAATTGTATATGCTATATACGTGCATATTTGGCTGTGTCTAATTGCACCGCAATTTTCGTCCGAAGCCAATAAAACGGATAAAAAGTAATTAGTAATTTGCACGTTTTTCGAATCCACAAAGCGATCTGTTTTTTGTTCAGCCTTTGATTTATACCTTCATGCGGATCATGAAGCTGCACCGATAAATTTCCTTTTGGGATTTGAATGCCGAATGTCTTAGCCCGGCTTTTGATGCCCCCACTTTATTTATGGGCGCATCACGGTGATGTAAAAGCCATTCTTACAATTTGATGAGTTATTTAAAAGTACTACACCTTCATTTATGTTCGTCAGTTTGCTTTTTTAAATTTTAATAGCAATAAACTCAGTTGCATATCGAACGGCCGTTTTAATATTCTTTTGATACGATCACTTGAGTTTCGGCTATTTTACGATTATTGCCGGATTCCCACTTAGTATATTCTCATAAAATTCCACTTTAAACCGTATGACCCGGTAATATTATTAATACAAATTGAGTCTGACCTCGTCTTTGAACCCACGATTGTGTATGTTTCTTGAAATTGTTCATGGTAAGGATTTTTGTGATTTTTTCGCGTAAAATACCACATGTAATGTGAGCTGACGCTCACTTTGACGTTATCTTCATTGGCAAGTATCGATTTAAAAAATAAAAGCGCACAATGAGCGAACCTTATTCGATTTTGTTGTAGGGTCAAACGACTATGCGAATATTTGCGTTGTAATGTCGTGTTGTAAATGTTCGTAAAATCGAATCGAGATTCGAGATCTTCGAAGCTCTCAACCATAATAACTTTATTGCCTCATATTCATTTGGGTGCACTTTTGCCAAACTTTTTCTATCAGGCAGCTTAACGACAGACGATTTTATTCGTTTTTAGGGAATAATTTTAATCAAGTGAGGGTCGGGCTTTAAAAGTGAAAAATTATGCGTCGTCGTCGTTGATTTAAAATATTATCGGATTTCGCTCTCAACTCTGGGTTTCGTTTCGTCTGAGATCGTAAAGTGCTGATTTTACTCTCACTTGAGACTTGAAAAGGGATCGCGATGGGAAGATATGGCGGAGTTGGTATTATTAGTAAATGTGTATCGCTAAGATTGAAGGTGACACGCACGTGAAGCGAACGGTCGGTGATATTGCAGTGTTGCTTGCAAGTCAGTTAAATGTACGCAAATGATTTTTGGTCTTCAAAATTATACGTCGGTTATTATTAACCAATATTTTTGATTTAGAGAGATTAAATTGTGCAGTGTGAATATTATAATTTTTGGATGGTAAATATGTGATGCGAAAGTGGAAGCGATATTCTTTTTACGGTTTTGTGTTTTACAACCTTTTAGACTACAATGTAA